ATTCGGTCCCTGGGCAGTGTAACATTGATAATGGGTGAGGATCCAGGTAAGTCAGGGATATTTAAAGCATGTAGGGACACTGGGTTGCCAGTTTACTATTGGGGAGGGGTAGGTGGTGGAGGTGGCTGGTTGTCATGGGAGTTATCATTTGAATCCTGGGGGTTTCTATTTTTAGAAGGACACCTGAAGTTGTGTTTAATGTGTCCTTTCCTGCCACAATTCCAGCAGTCTACATGCCTTCTCTAGGGACAGTGGACAGTGCCATAATTCCAGCAGTCTACATGCCTTCTCTAGCTCTAGGGACAGTGCCATTAGAGGTGTGCTCCTCTTTCTAGTATTTAGATTGGCTTCCACTCCCATAGCCACCTTTACCAGATCACCATAGGTTAATCTTCTCCACTCAGGTCTAGCATTTGGAGACCAGTCCTGATGGGTATGTGGAGACCATCCATGAAGCAGTTAATAAGCAGTCTGGTGGAGGTGGTTACAATTTCTGTGTAACCCAATGCCTCCCAAGCCATCTGTAGTCTGGTGAAGAATGTTTCAACAGATTCATCTTTCCCTTGTCGTAAATCTCCTAATGTATGGACTAGTTTCTCTGTCTTTACTTTAGCCCATTCTCTCATTTCACTGACATAGCATGCTCCAGATGCAGTTTTGGTTCTAAACCATTCATCTGTTTGCATGTTGCTTCTTCTGAAGTTATCTTCATGGGCATCAGTATATTTAGCAATTATTCTAGCCCAAATGGGGCCAGCTTTTAGGGCGACAATCTGTTTTAAATTCATCCAAGAACACTGGTAAGTAGCTTGAATGTTGGATAGAGACTGGACTAGAGCTAAGGGGGCCCTTTCTACATCTGGCAGCTGCTGTTTTATTGCCAGTTGTTCACTGGGTGTCCAGGTCTTATATTCTTCCCAGTGAATACCTGAGCTCGGCTGTCTCTTCTCATGGTATACGCTCTCAACTTTGGGTATCATGGGAGTAGTAAATTGTGGAGCTAATGGCCCCACTTGTGTGTCTAGGGGGGAGATGACACCCAGCTTAGTTGATTACTGCACCCAACTATTCACTGACAAACACACACTCCACGTAAGAGTACAGACTACCTATCTCCGGCCCTACAGGGTAGATGCCGAATTAACCTCTTGCGCCCCTGGTACCACACACACTACGAACAGGCCTACCCACCCAACAGCTAGGAGTTGAAGTCTAGCTTACTCTTGGCTTCCCCTATCCGACCGCAAACCTCCAGGCACTTGTCCATGGGGGGTCCCCTTTAAATATCTCCCATCTTCAACACAAGCGGACACCGCACATAGCCCCCAAGCAGAGCAGTTACGCTGCAGGCACAGCCTACCAAACACAATGCTATCATTATCACTATCTTTGTCCCCGAAACCCGACAAACCACTATGAGTATAACCCACAACATACCCGTGCAGCAGTTCATTCTGTCCCACAGGCACTGAAACACCCCAGTACCCATTATCATATCATAACGCACAAACACAGTGCTTACACCAAACACCACCATAGCAGAGTTTCCTTTGCCACCAGACGTGCACTGAACTTTGCTTTGACATTCGACACTAGACCACATTGTGAAGCCTTAATATTCTATATGCACTCTCAAACACACCTGCATTAAGTTCTAACTTGTATTTTATGTTTTTATAAATATTGTGCACAGTATTCCCTATGCCATATTATCAACTGCTGATGTAAGGCTTCGTTCCGCTATTGTGGCGCAACGAACCTCATTGTTCACTCATGCACGCATAAAATAAAGAATTATTAAAAAAAAAAGATTGTGCTATCGCAATCTCTGCTGTTTCTGACCTTCCGGGAACAACAGGGAGCTTTGTTCTCGCGGAACCTCATTTGGGAAATGCTGCTATAAAGACACCCAGGTCTTGAGCCACATTTAAATAGGAACATAAAACAAGATTAACATGACAGAGTTTGCAGGCCTTCTAAGAGGAACACAGCATGGAACTATCTTGTCCCAATCTTAAAAAAAAAAAAAAGAATATTCAGAAGGAAAAAGGAAAAGAGAAAAGAGAGGGAAGCTAGGTATGTGCCACAATGGCCAGACCACCATGATGCCCCGGAAGGGAGTATTTTTCCTATGCTTTACCTTCTTTGACCAAAGGAAGAGCTTAAGTCCACTCCATTTCCTGTGGTGAAAGAAATTTTCCCACAATACTCACCTGTGTTCTCGTGTTGCTTTATTCGTCGTTCGAACGTCCTGTCATCTTTACTAGGGCACTGGCAAATTCACAGAATTTAGTCCTAACAGAATGGGTACAGTTTGTCCATTCGTGTTAGGACAAAATTCTGTACTTTTTGTTTGATTTGGAATTTCATTCAGTTGAATGAAATTCTGATCCCATTGCATCTTGCAGCTGCTTAGTAGAGAGTTTCAGCCAACTTTACTAATACTAAGTAAAAATGACTTGGTATTAGTAAATAAGGCAGTTTAACATCTCCCCCCTGTGGCTGCTCACTGTTGTAAATAAAAAATTTTTTTTTTTAAAAGACCCTCCCCCCAATCTTATAAAGATAGCAGCGGGGACATAGTGTTGTCATATCCAAACCCTCACCTGTGCCCCACCTTGCAGGTAAGGCTCAAGATTTGCCTGTAAGAGCACTCTGTTTGGTTGGCTTAAACCAAGGAACCAAACTGCTCTGAGTAAAATTGTAGGGCAAGGGACGGCTTTATAAGCCTTTCCATGCCCTACGGAGTTCAGTCTACGCTGAGCCCTCGGCCCTCGCGGGTGAAGATGGATTTTTTTTTTGGCCCACAGATATATATACACATATGAGAAAAACAAGTAGCAAGAGAGGTGAGAACGGACAACAGCTCAATTAGCCTGCTCTTCAGTGGGTTCCCGCTCAGATTTCAAGCTGGTTTTAGCTCAGTGATGGACTCAGCGGGGACCCACCGAAAGGCAGGCTATTTCAGCTGCTGTCCGTTCTCAGTATACTCTTGCGCCCTGTTTTTTTGCTCTCTCTCTCTCTCTCTCTCTCTCTATATCTATATATATATATATATATATATATATATATATATATATATATATATATATATATATATAAAGTTCCAATTGCTTGCACTCCTGGATTAATAGTAAAAAGCCCGGTGCTTAACAGCCAAATAATAGAAAAAATAAAATAATGATAGTACCTCCTCCAAGCATGGCACATTTACCCCAACCATGTGATACACCCCTCAACTATGCCACACTCACCCTAAAATCCTGTCACACTTACTTCCCCTTGTCCTGTCGCACTCCCTCCTCCAACCATGTCACAATCACCCCCTATAATTCTCACCCTCCCTCATTCTGTTACACTCACCCTGTCACACTCACCTGCCACAGTTACCCCTTTATTCACCTTTTCATAGTCACAAACTGAAGACATTCATCATACACACACACACATGCACAAAGGTCACAGGCAGCCCCTATCACAACACACCTCAAGCAGCTACCCCACACACATACGGTCCCAGACACATGCTCACAGAGACATACATTCACACACAAAGACACACGCTTTGTCAAACACACACTTTCTGGCACATACATAGGTAGGCAATGTCAGACGCACTCAGAAAAACACACACTGGCACCTCTCTATACACGACTGTAAGGCTATGTAACCATACCCTGCAGTCGTGTATAAACAATTGGCATAATTGTTAACTGAATTTGCTTATTGAAAATTATGTCATAACTACATAATGTCATAACTACAGTCAGAGAGCTCACAACACTCCGACACAAGGAGAAGCGACACTTTTTTTTACTTTGGGTGTTAGTGGAAGCCTCATGTTTGAGTTCTGCCTAAGGCCTCACAAAGTCTAGAGCCGCCACTGATTGTGTGTCTTTCTCTCCCCACAGCCTCATTGTGTGTCTTTCTCTCCCCACAGCCTCATTGTGTGTCTTTCTCTTCCCACAGCCTCCTTGTGTGTCTTTCTCTTCCCACAGCCTCCTTGTGTGTCTTTCTCTCCCCACAGCCTCCTTGTGTATATTTCTCCCCCCCCCTAGCCCATGTTTATGGGCTTTTTCTCCCCTAGCCATGCAGACATGTACAAAGACACAAACATACAGGCGCACAGATATAGTTATTCAGGCACACAATCGTGCAGAGACTTCCAGGCACAAATCTTAAAAGGCACACAAGTAATCAAATACAGTCAATCAAACTACACCTTCAAGAACACCGCCATACAGAGACAGACATACAGTCATACATAGTTACAATTGTATATGCACTACAGACTGCCCTGGGGAGCATGATGTCCAGCTCTGTGGATCCCCAATCTTGAAGCCCAGTCCCATCTCTAAGGCACAGCACAGAATCCGGTATGAACCAGGGCAGGAGGCTGGGCCCTGGATAGTAGGGGGAGTGATGTGCCTGCCAGTCACCAGGACACTGCACCCCGTGGGCTGGTGTGCCCTTAGGCGGCTGCTTGTGCTGCCTTATGGTAGTACTGGAACTGGAAAAGTACATTTTAAATAAAATGTTGGTCACATTTATTTTAAAAAGTGTTGTTTGACTACCATGGGGGTTAAGGTAAGTCTACATGTTACAGAAAACAAATAATGGCTAATTTCACTTTTGATCAACTATTCATTCTTTCTAGAAAAAAATATGGACATGTAATATTAGGCTACATTTGTAACTTTGTTTAAGTTTTTATTTGTAATGCTCTGTTTGATATGTTATTATGTTCATATATATTTTATAGTCAAAATCAACTGATAAATTGATACAGGCTTCTAAAATATATATTTTTTAAAAATCAAATGCATTGTAAAACAGAAACAAATGTAATGTTTATATTAACATACTTTTCAATTTTTGTGTTTGTTTTTATTCTAAACAGAAAAGAAACATGTTTAAATCCACAAAGTTCTGTAGAGGAGTTCCCTGAAAGAACTGTGCTTGCTGGTTCAGCTACTTTTGGTGAAAAGCAGAGAGATAATATGAAATATAAAAAAAAAGAAAAGAAGCTTCAGAAAGAAAATATAACCACAGCAGTGTGTGCTCTTTTAAATTCTGGAGGAGGCTTGGTGCGGGTGCAGATTGAAAATAAAGATTTTGATTACCGTCTAGATACTTTAGGATTAGATATTGAAAAATCTCTGGATGAACTTATTTCTAATACCACATCAAAGGATTACTTTGACATAACTCAAGATGGATTGTATCTAAATATTTTTGTTAAGTCCTGGACCACCAAATTTTTTTTATCAAGGATATGTTCTGTGGATACAGGTTTGTACAGTCGATCATTTACTTCTAAAAAGAAGGCAAGCCCTATGCAAGTGATGGACATGATGGAGGAAAAATCAAAGGGGAAACGAGCACGTTTTGATCAAACACTTTTTTTTCCAGAACAAATAAATGAATTGCTTGATAGAAAATATTTTCATTTAAATGAAAAATTGCCATTATCAGAATCACTTTATATGGAATTCAAAGATTTTTCTGGTGCAAGTGATAAAGTGAGAATACAGGAAGCCATTCCTGATTATTTTTCCGCATTTGCAAACTCTGATGGAGGATGCTTGATTATTGGTGTAGATAATGATGCAAAAGTAAAAGGTTGCTGTACACAATGCAGTGAATCAGAAACCAAACACTTGGTGGAAGAAAGAATAAGGAAACTAAAAAGCATCCATTTTGATTACTGTGACGAAGGTGCTCCCTCTTATAAGCTAACTATTACAAATGTCCGTGATGATCAAAACAAACCTTCAGGCTTTGTGATTATTTTGAAAATCGAGCCATTTTGTTGCTTAACCTTTGCTGATGACCCTCAGTCATGGATAATGAATTCTGACTCTTTTGTCTCTCATATCGAAGATCTTAAACAACTAAACCCATCAGAATGGATAGAAATGATGAGCACCAAGGATACAGGTAAGCTAGAATTGGTATATAATTTCATATTCTATAGAACACGGTTATTCCTTGAGTAAGTAGATTTGTATTCTGTTTCAACATGTCTTCTGTTAATTGCTATATCTAACGTGCTTAACAACGCTAACCTTGAGTCTAGAACATAAATATACTGTCTGAAGTGCATTCATCAACCCCATCCTTATGTGTTTATGCCTCCTCTTTTGTCAGATTGTTCCATAACATATTTACTCTCAAACCCTGTGTTCCAGCCAGTGGAAATTCCTAGAGAGGACATTACTGCCATAGTCATCTTATCTTTTTATTTTTATTATTTTTTTTTTCATGTTTCAATTTTACATTAATGTGGTTTAAACAAAAGAATACATTGTATCTCAGCTTGCGTCAAAAATACAATGTGCATAAATACTACAGGGCATAGTTTGCGTCAAAAATACACTGTACGTAAACGCTACATGACATAGCTTGCATCGATAATTCAATGTAAGTAAATACTACATGACATAGCTTGTGCCGAAAAACGATGTATCAAATCTGATCAAGGATTTAAACAGCTGGAAATATAGGTTATACTAGCAAGGGCTGTACCCAACAATATGTCTCATACTATATGCCTTAAAAATAAGTGTCGATTCAGAGCTTGCATAGTGGGCTAACACATAACAGGCAGATTGATAGGGGATCAAATACTTATTTCATTCATTGACATTCAAATCAATTTCTAACTTATTTAACATGTGGTTTTCTGTTTTTTGTTATTCTGTCTCTCACTGTTAAAATACACCTACCATTCAAATTATAGACTGATCATTTCAAAATCAGCAGGGGATCAAATACTTTTTTCTCAGTCAGCCTTGTCAGTAAAAGCAAAAATATTAAGAAACAAGTGGCCAAAATAGTACAAAACAAAAAAGTTAGCATTTAGTAATTATAAAAAAAAAAACCCAGAGTGAGGAAGACAATGATTTATAGGATTAGGCAGAAAGAGGCTAAGCAAGTTATAAGAGCTTCCAAATCTCACACACAGAAGAAGAAAATAGCACAGCCGCTAAAAAAAAAAAAAAAAGGGGGTGGGTGGGTGGAGTAAAAACAAAAGAAGGACGGTATGTAGAAGAGGATAAAGGTCTAGCTGACTCTGAATATTTTTGTTTAGTATTTACAGATGAAAATGAAGGAAAGGGACCTCAGTTGGGAAAAAAGGACAAATTAGTCATTTGTTGCATGTGAGTTTACAGAGGAAGAGGTTCTATTTCAACTGTCAAAAGTAAAGACAAATAAGTCAATGGGGCCTGATGGAATACACCCAAAGTTATTAAAAAAGCTTAGTGGTATACTAGCAAAACCATTAACAGATTTATTTAACCAATCATTAACAGGAGTAGTCCAGGAAGATTAAAAGTTAGAAAGAAAGGTAGTAGGGAGAAGTCCGGCAAATAGGCCGGGAAGCCTTACTTCACTAGTGGGGAACATCTGAAATCACATGGATTTTAAGATCAGAGACAACATGGGTTTACTTCAGGGAGATCATGCCAAACTAATCTTGTTGATTTTTTTTGATTGGGTAACTAAAATAATAGATCAGGGTGGTGCAGTAGGCATTGCTTACCTAGATTTCAGTAAGGCTTTTGACACTGTTGCACATAGAAGGCTTATCAATAAACTGCGATCTTTAAGTTTGGATTCCAATATTGTTGAATGGGTAAGAAAGTAACTGAGTGACAGGCAACAAAGGGTTGTAGTCAATTGAGTATATTTGAAGCATGGTCTTGTTACCAGTGGGTTACCTCAGGGATCTGTACTTGGACCCATTCTCGTTAATATTTTTATTAGTGATATTGCAGAAGGTATTGATGGTAAGAAATCACGAGTCAAATACGAAACCGGGGTCAGGATACCAGAAATCAGAAGTCCAATACGAAGCCATGGTCAAACACAGGAAATCACAAGGGAATCACCAGGAGCGCTAAACGAGGATCCAAACAGAAACCACGATAGGGCATAGATGGCTGCTAAAACAAACCTTAAATAGGCTCTAAATATTCCCATTGGTCCACATCATCTCTGCGAGCCCAAACAACATTGGGTCGTCTAGATGACATGGTCCCTTTAAGGTAAAGACGTCATGGCTATTTCTTTATTTTAAAGGGGTTGCAGCTTGTCCCGCGAACCGACAGAGGGAACCATTCATGGGACCGAAGGCAAGTACTATATTCTTGCCATGCAACCCGAGGACTGAGGCAATGCGGCATGCGTGGCCATAGGAGTGTATGTGTGTGTACGCGTGTGTATATATGTGTGTGTGTATGTATATATACACGCGTTCCTGCAGGACTCATACCCTGTGCGCATGCCTATGGTAGCAATCCACTGTGAATGGTCTTGCTAGCTGCACATTTGTCACAAGCAAGCACAAAGTCTTTGATATCCCTCTGTAGAGAAGGCCACCAGAGGTCCCGAGCTACAAGATTAGTGGTCTTGGTTATTCCTGGGCATACGTCTGGTTTGCTATAATGAAATAAAGACATAACTTCTTGTTTGTCAGTAGGTGTAATGAACGATTTATTGTTGGGCTGGCCTATATGAGACTCGGATTAAGTAGATATGATATGACTTAACAGGGAAGAGGATAGAGAAAAAACTGTTGTAGCTACGATTTTTTTCCGAGGGAATGATGTAACACTCCTCTGGTCTCTCCTCTTCACTCACCTCAAACTACCTGGACAAAGCATCGGCCTTGGCATTGCATGGTCCAGGTCTATAAGTAATTAAAAAGTTCAATCTAGACAGGAAGAGAGGCAATCTCGCCCTCCTGGAATTCAACCGTTTAGCCTCTCCGACTTACAGAAGGCTCTTATGATCCGTTAGCACCATGATGGGATCTCTCGAATCTTCTAGGAGATGTCTGCATTCCTTCAAGGCTATGATAATGGCTAATAGTACTCTATTGCCAATATCATAGTTTCGTCCTGCTTGTGTGAGTTTCCTAGAGAAGAAACCAAACGGGTGTAAAGGTTGGTCAGGGGACAAGCCCTGGGAAAGAATATCTCCTATTCCTACGTTAGATGCATCTACTTCCAATATAAAAGGGTACACATCAAGTACACAGGATGTTTGAGGATTGGAGCGGAAACAAAAACTCTTTTCAGGCTCTCAAAGGCTTCCTTTGCCTTAGGAGGAAAAGCATAGTGGTTGCCAGCCTTTTTAGTGAGGTTTGTGATGGGGGCTATAATGGTAGAGAAGTTTTTAATAAACCGCTATAATAGTTTTTTGGATAGGTTTTCATTCTTGAGGCAAAGGCCACTTAACAACAGCTGACAATTTCTTGGAATCCATACTAAATCCAGAGCCCGAGATAATGTAACATAACCCAAGAAATGGACAGCTTGATCAAACACTTCTCTGGCTTACAATACAGACCATTGTCGAGAAGTGTATGTAAAACCTTGGAAACATGTACTTGATGTGTACCCGGGTCAGGGCAATATATTAAAATATCATCCAAGTACACCATCACGAACAAATGTATGAAGTCCCTGAGGACGTCATTTATGAAATCTTGGAAGACCACTGGAGCATTACATAGTCCGAAAGGCATGACTGCATATTCATAATACCCACTTTTGGTGTTAAAGGTTTTCCACTCATGCCCCTCTTTTATGCCTACCAAGTTGTGTGCACACCTCTCAGATCCAGCTTGGTATAGACAGAAGTCCCCATTAACTTTTCAAAAAGCTCTGTGATAAGGGGAATAGGACACACATTTTTTACCGTTATTTTGCTTAACCCTCTATAGTCTATACAAGAGCGTAGATCTCCCTCTTTTTTTGGATACGAAAAAGAAACCAGCCCCAGCCGGAGAGGAAGATCTACGTATAAAGCCCTTTGCCAAAGATTCACTAATATACTCCTCCATAATAGTACTCTCCTGGACCGAAAAGGATAAACTCTTCCTTTGGTTGGCATAGTACCAGATAGGAGTTCTTTGGCACAATCATAAGGCCTATGGGGTGGTAATCTGTCTGCTTCCCTCTTATCAAACACTGCCTTAGGTGTATGTAAGAGGAATATATACAGTGGTGGAGCAGTAGGTACATTAATTCTATGAACAGGTGTAACCTTTTTTTTATGCATCACTCCTGACTTCTATCACTCCATGATATGATCTCTCTCTGTCTCCAGTCAATAGTGGGGTTATGCAGATATAACCATGGATAACCCAATACTATTGAAGAAGGAGGTTATCACCTGAAAACATATATTCTCTGTGTGCAACAGACCAGAACGCATAATGAATTGTTCTGTCTCATGAGTGATTAACAGAGAATATAAAGGTCCTCCATCTATGGCCTCAATGGCCAAGGGTGTCTCCTTCTTTCTTAGGGGTGGCAAGTGGGTTCTGACAAAACCCCGGTCTATAAAGTTATCAGGTGCTCCAGAATCTATGAGCGCTAGCATGTCTAGAGACTTTTCTCCCCAAGTTAGGGTGATAGAGAGGAGTAGACATTTATGAGGCAGTATAGGGGATTCTGATGTCACACCCAAGGCCAGTCCCCTGAACAACATAAGGTGCAACAGTTTTCCGGACGCACCGGACACATCAATCTGAGAAGCCCTTTCTGGCCACAATGTAAGCAGAGCCCCTCCTTTCTCTTATATGGTTTCTCTGCCTCAAACTATTTGGTCACCCCTAGTTGCATGGGCTCAGTATCCGTAGACAAAGAAACATCGGGTACTGAGGCCCTAGGAGATATAGTAACTGGAGGACGTCTAACACGATTCCTCTGTTGGGCTCTCTCCCTTAACCGCTTATTAATGTCAATAAGATAATCGATAAGGTCCTCTAGAAGGACTGGAAGGTCTCAGTAGGTGTAATGAACCTCATCCAGGATGTTATCATTAACCCCCTCCATGAATGCATATACTAAACCACTATTGGTCCAGTCCACCTCAGAGGCAAGAGTACGGAAACTAAAAGCTTACTCCGCTATAGACCTAGTTCCCAGTTTAATCCTCATAAGGGATTTAGTGGCACACCTCTCTCTGCCAAGTGGATCAAACACCTTATGGAAAGCTCTTACAAAGGCTTTATAGTCCTAAACCAAATCTTTGTTTGCCTCCTATAAAGGATTAGCCCATTCCAAGGCCTTGTCGGTTACTTGGTGCATAAAGAACCCAACCTTGGACCTTTCAGTGGGAAAAGATCTGGGAGACGTTTCAAAGTGAAACTCTATTTGGTTTATAAACCCTCGACAGGTCTTAGGATCGCCACCGTATCTAGGAGGTGGTGTCAGGTTTGTGGTCATATTGTTCTGACCAGAAGCTACAAACACCACAGGCACAGTATGGGGAAGCATAGGTGGAAGGTTTTCAGGAGAGAGGTGGGCTGTTCTGGCTAACAAGGTCTGGAAGGCCTGAGCGAATTGATCCACTCTATTGCCCATTTCCTCAAATTTAGCCTGGAAAGGATCCTGTGGAGCTCTCAATGTAATAGAGCAGCAGGAAATGCTAGCAGAATGCTTGGTTGTATAGGGAGAGGTATTAGCAGTAGAAAGAGGGAAGTGCTCATGCCATTGTACAGAGCACTGGTGAGACCTCACTTGAAGTATTGTACGCAGTACTGGAGACCGTATCTTCAGAAGGATATTGATACCTTAGAGAGGGTTCAGAGAAGGGCTACTAAACTGGTTCATGGATTGCGGGATAAAACTTACCAGGAAAGGTTAAAGGATCTTAACATGTATAGCTTGGAGGAAAGACGAGACAGGGGGGATATGATAGAAACATTTAAACATATAAAGGGAATCAACACAGTAAAGGAGGAGACTATATTTAAAAGAAGAAAAACTACCACAATAAGAGGACATAGTCTTAAATTAGAGGGACAAAGGTTTAAAAATAATATCAGGAAGTATTACTTTACTGAGAGGGTAGTGGATGCATGGAATAGCCTTCCAGCTGAAGTGGTAGAGGTTAACACAGTAAAGGAGTTTAAGCATGCGTGGGATAGGCATAAGGCTATCCTAACTATAAGATAAGGCCAGGGACTAATGAAAGTATTTAGAAAATTGGGCAGACTAGATGGGCCGAATGGTTCTTATCTGCCGTCACATTCTATGTTTCTATGTAGGGTCCATGGCCCTAATGTCACGGGAGTCGTACCCTAACACACAGGAAAGAGGAAACCCACAAAAGGTGGATCCAGAAGGCTTATTACCGAGCCATAGAATGGCCGGACTTAACTTAGTAATACAACAAGAAACAGGGTCAAGATAAATAAAGGACAGGAATAACAGAAATACTCAGTCAAGACAAAGTCGGGATCAGGATATCAGAAACCACAAATCAAATATGAAGCCGGGGTCAGGATACCAGAAAACACGAGTCAAATACGAAGCTGGGGTCAGGATACCAGAAATCAGAAGTCAAATACGAAGCCGAGGTCAAACACAGGAAATCACAAGAGAATCACCAGGAGCACTAAACGAGGATCCAAACAGAAACCACAAAAGGGCAAATAATGGAGGCTAGAACAAGCTTTAAATAGGCTCAAAAAAGTTCCCATTGGTCCACGTCATCTCTGCATGCCCAAACAGCATTGAGTCACCTAGATGACATGGTCCCTTTAATATAGTTACATTGTGACAAACTCCCCTGTCCTTGTGAGTTTGCCACAAGCTCCTGAAGGAGCCTGCTTGCCAGCCTTCTGCCCATCGACAATGGGCCAGGTCAGCGACTGTAAAGACCCATATTTTATTCCCCCTGGCTCCGCACTTTCCATTAGTGCACATAGAACCGAATGCTAGCTCCCCGGCGTCCGTTCGCATGGACCAAAACCACGAACAGTATTCAGGGGAATTAGCCGCGAAAGCCCTGGAACTATTTTCGGCATAAAGACTTCACTGTTCCCGGTCGGTCCCCAGTGGCACTTAGCCGTGATTCTATAAAACTATTTTCGGCTAAGGGACCATGCGTGCGGTCGGTCAAATTATGACTTCCAGGAAATTCCTGAACCCCTGAACAGATCTGGGTGATTTTTTAATATGTTTCTCACGGAGATCGGGGCTATCTGTGAGGTTCTTGTGAGGTTTTATGTATTTTTAAGGTACTTTTGGGGTGTTTGAGAAATGTGTTTTTTGTGCTTGGAGATATTTGAGTTTAATACAGTGCTTGAATCCATTATCTCCCAGGCACAGGGGAAGGATTATCTTGTTTTGTATGAGAGTGTCCTGGACCTAA